AGCATCCTGATTACCAGTGCTCTGAACTGTGCATCTGATAGGCTGGCTATCTCTTGGTCGCTTAGTTGTATTTGCTGTGGAGCTTTGATCTGTACTTCTGTTTGGGCCATTTTTATGGTCTTGTCGCACCTGTTACATATGAGGGGCAGAGCCTTAGGTGTTCACCAGGGTAGGGCAACCCACATCCCTGGGTTGTGACACTGTATGTGGGGGAGGGGTCTGAGAAGGAATGATGGCACCTGCTCTGCTCTCTGTCAGATTTCAGTCCCTTCTGCCACTTTCCCCAAGCAAACCGAGCCTTTCTGGTGCTGATTCCCATGTGGGTGAGCTTGTGTATGTTCTAGGACCCTGTGGGTCTCTCCAACGAACTCTTCTGTGAGGCTGGGGGAGTCTCTCCTGGCACCTCAATCCCCACAGATGTTTTCAATTTATGGTTTGAGGCTTTATTTCTTCATGCTGGGACCCTGGGTTTCATGGTCTGTCTCGCTCTCCAGTTTCACCTGGTTTATCTACATGCGAATGTGGGACTGCCCGGTCAGCCAGCCGCCTTGTGTGCTGTTTCCTGCTTTACAATAGCTGCTGCCTCACTGGGTGTGCTGTTGTTACCCCACACCTGGGGTCTGCCTGCTGTTGTCTTGCATGCCCCGGGGTTTGTCAGCTGCTGCCTGTGCACTTGGTGCCACTGCTTTTCTTGCCATAACTTCTCTCTGCCCAGTTCCCTGACTCTGCCCTTCCTACCTGTCTGGATGAATGTGTCTACTTTAACTCCTTGGTTTTCAGACTTCCATACAGTTCAATTTTCTGTCAGTTCTGGTGGTTATTTATAAATTGTTGTGACCAAATTAAATTATTTTGGTTGTATGAGGAGGCACAGTGTGTCTGTCTACCTATGCCTCCATCTTGGTTGGAAGTAATAAAGTTTTCTTTATTTTTTCAAATAAGTTTTCAATTTCTTCCCCTTCCTCTTTTCCTTTTGGTACCCTATGATTCATATGTTGGCACTTTTGGAGATGTCCCAGTCTCCTTATTCTCTCTTTTTTTTGAGTTATGTCTTCATTCTGTCCTGGTTGGTTGTTTCTTTGTGTTACAAATTGTTGATTTGAGCCCTGGCTTCCTTCCCTTAAATGTTGGTTCCTTGTGGATTTTTCTTTATTTCACTTAGTGTAGCCTTCATTTCTTCCCTTATGTTTTTGCCATATTCAGTGAGACCTCTGAGCATCCTTATCATCAGTGTTTTGAACTCTGTTATCTGATAGGTTGGCTATCTCCATCTACTATAGTCCTTTTTCTGGGTTTTTGTTCTGTTCTTTCATTTAGGCTATATTTTTTTGTTTCCTCCATTTGGCAGGCTCCCTGTGTTTGTTTTTGTGTATCAGGTAGCACTGCTTTGACTCCCATAGTGCACCTTTTAAGTTGTGTGGGGCGGAACCTTTAGGTATCTGCTGGGTGGTTCAGCCTGCTTCACTGCTTTCTGGCTCTGTATGTGGGGAGGGGTCGGAGAGTGGACAGTGCCACTGTTTGGCTGCTAGAGGCTTGCTGGGTACTCACCCCATTTCCAGTCACTTCACCCCGTTCCCACATACAACTGGTACCCCTCTCTCTACCTGCTGCCCTGGTAGTGGTTCCCAGAGTGGGCGGGTTTCTGTTTGGTTTAGGACCACGTGGGCTCTTTAAATGGACTCTCTTGAGACACCAGCAGTATTTGATTTTTCAAGCAGGACGTTACGAGACTTAATTTCCCGGCACTGGAACCCGGGGCTGTGTACTGCGGCCTGGGGCTGGGGCTAGCTAACTCCCCAAGGTGTCCCTCCTGGTTTTACCCTCCATACGTGAATGTGGGACTGCCTGTTCTTCTGGCTGCTGTTGCCCCTGCCTTGCCCCTGCCACACCGTGTCCTCTCTGCCCTGGCTCCCTGTCTCTTCTCCTCCTACCGTTTGGACGAATTTGGCTTCTTTAGATCCTTTGTTGTTGGACTTTCTTTTTGGCAGTCTGGGTCTTTTTTGTTTTGAAGTTAGTTGTGATCCTTTTTATGGTTGTGCAAGGAGGCCAAGCATGTCTACCTACGCCTCTATCTTGATTGGAAGTAGTCTATATAAATATTTTATACACAACTCCTTCATATATTGTATCTGAAAATTCTAACATCTGAATTCTTTTGGAGGAGTATCTAAATTTACTATTTTTTGTTGGTTCTTCAAATTAGCTTGCTGTCTGTCATGTTTGGTGATCTTTGACTGTGTTTCTTAACTTCACTTGTGAAAGACCTTTGTTCCACTTTGGAGAAGCTTTCCTTCAGAAAGTATCGATTCTATTGTAGAAAGAGAGTGACTTTCAAACTAGAACCTGAGGCTTTTAGAGGGTTTGAGCACAAAACAGAAATTCTAGTGCAGTTGCAAGGTTATCCTCATAATGGTGTTGCAAGAGGAACCCATCCTTGGCAACGCCACTTCTTCTGGGTGCCTGCATTTCCAAAGCCAGCTCTCTGCCATTCTGGCCTTTATTACCTTCTCCAACTTCCTAGGTCTCTGGCGTACTATGTGGACTCAGCTTCTAGTCCCAACCTTTGAGCAGTCTCACTTTTGTGTTCAGCACTAACTCTTGGTGCTGAAGCCTTAGCTTGTACAGATAAATGCTCATGTTTGCTCTTTTGGGGTGAAGGGTTGACAGATGCCACTCCTACCTTCAATAAGGCCCAAAACACCTCAAATTATGGAGGTCTTGGAGCTTCTAGTTAGTCATAATACTGTAAGTGAAAATTATGCAAGACTTTTGACACTGAAAAGCCATTTAAAAGCTTACCTCTATTAATACATGTATGTATATGTTTATAAATACATACATATACATATATAAGGTTAATATCTTCCAGAGACAGTATACTTCAAAATACAGCTAGAAGGTAAAAAAGAATTCTAAATTATGATTATGAACCATGGATTGGCATTTGCTCCTTTGGGTTTCTCATACCCTAAGTTTTTTGGGAAGATCAGTAATACCTGTAAAAATTTGTATTAGATTGGAATCTATAATGCAGTATTAACCTAGTCACCATACAATAACAATTTCCATTATGACCCCAATTTGTGTTACAGAAATAGCATGGATCATTTTATATTTCTAAAATATTTCATTTGTAATTTTTGAATGCCTTGAATATGGTTAGTATTCTGTTTACATTTACTATTTTCTGAAAGGTCAAGTCTTAAAATTGAGTATGTTATCCCCAAACAAGAAAGTACATAAAATACAGTGCTTGCATTTTAGCATTAATGCATACCATTCTTTATTTGTTAAGACTCTGATGTTTCTCCTACTTTTCTATCCTCAGTGTACAGCCCAGAGAAGGCATTTTATTAATATCCATTGAATAATAAATGCTACTGACCTTACAGGAGTAAGATGCAAAGTTTTCCCATTATTACCAGTGAAGAGAACAACTTGCTGTGAATCTTCATGATTTTGCTCTTCCCCAGGACAAAAAGTACTTGTAGGAAAGGTGACTAAAGTTAAAATCTTTGAGATCTTGACTACAGTAAGGCTAATGCATAGTTGACCAACAGGAAGTTTCCCAAAAGAAATAATACTTAAAACCAAAGTTACAAATTACAATCTATTTAAATTTTAATTTGTGCATTCGTGGTAACTCATGACTGCAAAACACTTTTTTTTCTTAGAATGACATAGTTAAAGGCACATTTCATCTGAATGCATAGTGTACCATTCTAGAATATCCAAATTTTCTCACAAAGTGCTTGAGCAGTCACTTATGCATACAGTAATAGCAAAATATATTTACACTCTATAGAGTTTAAAATTTTAAAATCTGACTAAAATATATATATATTTAAAACTACAGAAAAAAATTAGTGCTTTCTTCAGCTTAATTGTGTGAATATACCCTGCCCTCTAATTTTTTTAGTGATTGGCTTCAATTTATAAAAATTTCTGTACATTGTGTAGTTACAAAAACGCTGTCAGTTTTTAATGCTAAAAGCCTACTTTAGACATTGCTCTTTATACATTTTTGAGAACCAGAAAAGGTGAACAGACTGTACCTCAAAAGTATTTAGTGTTTTTTTTAAATGTTGTGTTAATACTGTTTAAATGAAAGCCAGACAATTAAGCTAAGATCCTCTATTGTCCTTTACCAAAAGTTAACTGGCATTTAAAAATAACTTGAAACAACATATTGCTCTGTCTAGAAGATTATCCCCCAAAGGATCTTGGGTAATAATCAATTTGAAAGGAAATATGAATTATCTCTGAACAATTTTAATTGCTCTGAGAGTACACCAAAAACATGCCAGCACACCCTGGTAAGGCTCAACTATTTATAAACATTTTTAGCTCAACTCTCTATAAACAAATGTGCTTTCGTGTTTCTCATATTCAAACTTGAACAATTTTTAACATGACATCACTGCGATTAAATGGTTAATTTAGTATGGTTAGTTAACAACTTGCTATTCCTGAGGTATGATGACCCTAATATGCTAAGCACAGAATCAAAGATGTTGTTACTGAACTAAAAAGAAACAATGAAGTTATGGACTGGGGAAAACAAATGAACAAACAAATTTAAAAAACCCACAAACAACTCCAGGCAAGTGGAAAAGTCATGGCTTACAAAAAGACTTTCCTATAAGAGCATTAAAAAAGCCACAAAAGGATCCTCTGAAGAGTTGTAAAAAGTACTTGATCAAATTATTTGAGACTTTTGAGGTACAGCTTTAGTGTTATAATAATTTTTATAAAATATAGACTGTTTTATCAAAAATATTTATACATTCTGTTATAATATATTGCTTTTGCCCTTAGTAACTGCCAATATAAAATCTGGATCCAGTGGCCTAAAATGTACAAATGCACTTAACGTAAATGCTGGAGTCTGAGGTGTCTGCTTGGCCACTGTACAAAAGTGATGAAGTGGTGAAATTAAATAATAAACCTACAACATAGAATACATTACAACCTGCAAATATACATGTTCACAGCATGTATACCATAATAATCTCTATGTTTTAACAAAGATATAGTTCCCTTCTACAGTAGATACAAGAACAAGATGAACTAGGTTGATAAAATGTACAATGAGTATCAAGAACAGCATTAATCAGTTCACTGACTTTGGAAGAAGGCGTGACTGAACACCCCAAGGGGCCAGACTTTGGGAATGCATAGAGATAACACAGTATCTTGGTTCAGGCTGATTAGAAGTTCTCATTCTTAAATTTTTTAGTAAATGTTGATGTTTAGTTGTTCCTGTTCATTTCATAATGGTCTAATAAACAAAAAACTGTTTGGCAAGTAGCTCTGCTGGAAAGCTATGAGGTTTTGTTACATGGTTGGTAAAGATAAGGCAATAAAAATGTTCTAATAAATATAAAAAAAACTTATAAAACAAGACATCAATTCATTTAATTAAAAAAGCCTAAAAATGTGCACAAACTACCACTACTTTTTGGACATTAATTTCTTTAAAAAAATAAGAGCATTTGCCTTATTTAAAAAGAATCATACTATTTGTGAATAGGAATAGCACTCCAAGCCCTTTTCCCATTGGAAAAAAAAAAAACAGCTAAGTGAAGTTAACTGATTCATTTTCCTTCTGCTAAAGGCAGGCATACGACAAAACTAGGGATTATAGAGGAGTTTTCTTCCTTTTTTTTTTTTTTTAAGACTATTGATCTAAAAGTATTTGATAGATTTTCACGGCTGATACACATTCAGCCTAAACTCTATAAAACTGTTTCCAGTGCTCAGATTTATGCTGAAAATACATCAAGAAACTACTTTTCAGGAAGGTATTAGAAGTACTTTAAAACAAATCTTCATGTGTTTAAAAACAACAACAGACTCAGAAGCTACTGGTGGCACAGAGAGCAAATGAAAGGTTCGCTATTTCTAAGAGGTCATCTTGTAGTCAGTCTGCTTGGTTTCACAGTGTCTAGGAACTTAACACCAATCAGCAATGTAGTCAAAATCTCTGAACATTTCTTGCTCCTCTTCTGAAAGTATCCTTGGTTCCCGAGGTGGAGTCAGAATAGGTGCTTCTGAGGTAAATTCATCATCAAAATTACTAACATCTTCCCGTCCTCTAATGGTAGGTACAAATGGCGGCTTTACTTTTTTGTCCATCAGAGCAATCCAATCAATTAGCTAGATTACAAAATATAAAATGACCGCTTTAGTTTCCCACTCCTGATTGTTCGTTTCAGAAAAAAACAAAACAAAACACTAAACTTTCATACTTACTCGAAAAAATGGATGCTTTTTTACATCTTCTGCATCTTTCTCACCAGCTCCAAGGCGCCTCTCTGGATTTCTTCTTAATAGCTAACAAGATAAAGTAAAAATGTTCAAATAAAAACAGCAACTTCACTGATATTCTCATAACCAACAAAGATCTAGATTTCTTATTGGTATGTACTTGTCTAAATCATACATCTATGAACAACTTCTAGAGTTCTACTGAAAAATGTCCTTCAATATAAAAAAATTGAGTAGTTGATAAATCATTAATTCTTACCCTTCTCATTATTGAAATGGCTTCTGTAGATAGGAACCTTGGATACCTTACTTCGTCATTGACAATACTGTCAAAAACCTCCTCTTCATCATCACCAGGAAAGGGAGACTAGAAGAAATATCTTTGTGTAAGTCAAAATAATTTTCAATACAGTAAAATTATATCAGCTATCCAAAGAACAATCAAGAACCGGGTGGTCAAACTGAACTAACAAACAAAACAGAGACAGACTCATAGATAGAGAGCAGGCTGACAGCTCTGGGGTAGGGGGGGATTAGGGGCTGGAGGGATTGAGCAAAAAAGAAAAAGGACTGATGGTCATGAACAACAGTGCGGTGATTGTTGGGAGGAGGGGGATGGGTGGAGGTGGGAGAGGGTATTTGGGGAATAAATGGCAATGGAAAAAAATTACAATAAAAAACTTGCATTAAAAATACAAGAACCAGCCCTGACTGGTGTGGCTCAGTGGACTGAGCGCCTGCTTGCGAACCAAAGGATCACTAGCTTGATTCCCAGTCAGGGCACACACCTGGGTTACAGGCCAGGTCCCAGTAAGGGATGCTAGAGAGGCAACCATACATTGATGTTTCTCTCCCTTTCTCCCTCCCTTCCCCTCTCTAAAAATTAAAAAAAATTTTTAAAGGCAGTAAAAAATAATTAAAAAACCCCACCAAAACACCACACAAACAAGGACTTAGAAGAAGCCACCACAAATACATATCTGTTGTCCATAGGATACACAATATACTCTTACTGAAATCTTCCTTGAATTTATTTCACAGATGTTTAACAAATTTGGTCAAATCACTTTGTATTATTTTTCATTTCATTCCATTCAATTGTTTTATTTAATTCATTTATTATTCATTTGCCTAAGCAGACAGTATATAATTTTAAGTGTCTACTAGACAGTGGGAAATATTTAGATAATAGACACAAACTTTAAGAAGGTCGGTATTGTGGAAAGACAGAAGGAAATGAGCAGGTGAATATGATAGTAAGTGTTACTACAGAGGAAATCACTGTGGCAACAGATCAGATAAGGATATGCTTTGAATTTCACAGTCAACAGTAAATTAATTGTCATAAAATAATGAGAAAATCTGCAGGCATAATAACTGCACTAAGAAGCAGCTGCCAACAAAATTAGGCTGAAAGGAACTCAAAAGCCACATGTTTCCAGGCATATTTATTACTCTATACACAACAGGTTTTAAGGCATTTCAGTAAGAAGCAGAGTATTAAAATTATTACTCATAAGACAAAAATGAAACCAAGTCATAAAAAAGTAGTTAAACTCCATTCAGCATAACATAAGCTCTCAACCATGTTGAAAATGTGGCTATAAAATTATTACCTCAGAATTTCACCTTTATTACCTCAGCATTTCAGATGGCTTAGATTTGATTGCTTGCTTCCTATAAGGTAGGTACTGAAGAATAAGAACCACACAGCAGGCAATATCAATAGAAAGAGAGGGTTCTTAGACCTAAGGAAGCTGTGAAAATGAGTTCAGAACCCAAATTCCTGAAGCTGAGCTGCCCATGCCGTTGCTCATATCTAAGATAATTTCAAACTTTTCTGTCAAAACTTTATTCATTCACTCATTCAAAATACATAAATCAATACCTACCATGTGGGGACAATATAACTTCTTTCTGGAATTGAGATAAGTCAGGGGAAAATTCTATTTCATAAGGATTCTCAATCAGAATTTCAAGTGGTAATTCAAAGCACTTTTGTATTTTACTTGATCAGTCAATTTTGTGTTTAAAACTGTCACTCTATAAGTCTCTGAATAGTAAAGATTTATCTTCACATTTGTTAAGATGTTAAAATTCCTTGTTTCTTCAAATAGATTTTAAGCTAATAACAAAACACTAATGCAATTGTTTTGAACACATATAAAAATGCAATAGTCTATTCAGATGTCAAACATCTAATCCCCACATCTAAGGTTACTTCACTGATACAGCATTTGGCACAGGAAAAGGAGACCTGGTACATTTGTTTATTCCTGGGGTCTTCCCAGTCTTCAAAACTTGCACAAATACAGATACAAATTTCAAATACAAATCTGAATATGCATAATATAGCCAATCAGTTTTCAATTATTTGTAACAATAGAGAAATTAGATGGAAACTTTAGCCAAACCTCAATTTTATCATAGTTTAGTAAACATAGTCTTTAGTAACTTCAATCTCATATGTTACTAATTGCTACATTTAAAAAACAAAGCAACAAAAATGTTATTTTTAAAAAGGAATTTGAAGTATGCCTGAATTTATAGAAACAATTATTATGAGTACTTCTGGCATTCTTAGAAAGTAAAGACCACCATGGACTAGGGATAAAATGCATCTTTCAACTCTAAAACGTCATACAGTAACTTTTCTAAAGAGATGTTTCAGTTCTGGATCATTGGCTTTAAGAACAGAAACAGGTTGAGTGGACTATTCTGGAAGTAGCAAAGTATAATGGTTTAGAGACAGACTGAAGTTAGAGAGCCAGGTTTAACATTCAAGCCCTACCATGAGAACTGTGACTTAAAGCCGTCTCCAAACCTCTAAACCTCTGCTTGTCTCCACTCACATAACAAAAAATGGACGTAAGACTACTATTGAGCACATCAAAGGCTGCTGAAATATTAAATGAGCTACCATTTATTAAGGAAATAGAAAAGTGCTTAGCATAGGATAAACATTTCTTTCCTTCCTTTTCCAAGTATTCACTCCAATTTGACATTCCAAAAAGGGCTGTCATTTGGTTAAATTAAAATCATTTATTTGCTTGTTTGGAATAAGTGCCACTATAAGCCAATCACAGAACAAAATTTTAGAAATAACTGACATTCAATAATTTGGTCATTCATTCATTGAGCCACTAATTTCTTTATGCCAGGAATGTACAGGAAAGACTGCTGGCATTCGGGAAACTGCAGAACAACAAACCAATCCCAGACGGGAATGTTTCTTGCATCTCGGGGTTATCAACTTTTTCTAAGTAGTTTTCAATTACTTGTATAAATATTGATTCTTACTCTAATTTATCACTTCCAACAATTTATAACAAAATATATTAGCCTCTTATTACTGCTTTATTAATTGGATATAATTCACCATTTCCTAAATGGTAAAAATTTCTGTGTACAACTAAATTATCCCCAGAAATTTATTTCAAGTAAATCTAAAGAAAACAGTAAAAAACAAAAAACAAAAAAAAACCTGTTAATTTTTTCAATTCTGCTGTATTGTTTTTTGAAAGTAACATTTTTGACTAAGATATAGCTGACTTTATAGGTAGGTATAGAATACATTCTTTTCATTAGTCTTCCTCTTACTTTATTTCCTATGAAATGATCGATATTATTGTATCTTAGAATCAGAGACAATTAATATATTATAAATACTTATACAAGTTCCACTTATGCAGTAATATATTAAGTGGTTTTATAAATGGCATGCTTTATTCTTTCACTCATCTTTCCTCTTTTCTTTCCAGCCCATTTTTACTGCTTACCTCGCCAACAAGCATTTCATATATAAGTACACCAAGTCCCCACCAATCTACAGCCCTTGTGTAGGATGTTTCTGTTAATACTTCTGGGGCAAGAAATTCAGGAGTGCCACAAAATGTGCTTGTTCTGTCTCCATATCCCATTCCTGAAAAAGGTAAAATTTAATCATTTGTTAGCAAAGAAAAAAAAATTTAGAATAAAAATTAGGAGGTATCCCTAGGAAACAAAAATTAAGTTGCATGATTAGTACACAATGACCAAACTCACAATATACCAAAGACTTTTAAAGAAAATGTTAAAGACTGGTATGGAGAAAACTATACAATAGCAACTTTATTATTTAGTTAGTAGTACGTAAAAATAAAACTTTCATACTTTATTTTCTTTCTTGTCATTATACGCAATGCCAAGAAGTTGAAATAAAAGGAACTAATTGTAAGCTTCAATTTCTATCATCTTTTTAATTCAATCTTTTTAGTAAGTTTATTTGCTTCATTATAAAAATAACACTAAGTACAGTTTGGAAATTACCACAGAGCAACCTTTGGAAAATCAAGAGTTCATCAAATGTGTTATATAATATAGAGATATGGTTTTAATAATTTTAGCTAACTAGTTTTCAAATATACATTCCCTATAATTTAGTTAATCAAATATACATTCTACATATTGAAGATAATGGCTGAATGCATTCTGAAGTGTTAAAAGCTCATAAGCATCTTCTTATGAAAGCACTTGAAAGAAAAGACCTCAATTCTAAATATAAAAAGGTATGCATTTTTAATGACTGAACTTTCAAACAAATTTGTAAGTCTACACATCAAGTCATGAAGGGCATAATTAAATATATGAGCACATTAGGGTGGGAAATTTTTTTTTTGCAAAATTCCCTTAACATTGGTCATATTATTTTTTCTTCAATAAAATTTATTTGTAAAAAGAGTTGAATGAATACATACACACACACAATCCTTTTAAATACCTTGGCCAAAATTAGAAAAAAAACTGGTTAGCAAACATGGAAACAAAACTAATTTATTGATTTTTATTCTGTGCCTTGATTATAAACTAGAACATATTACATATGTCATACTTTCACGTTAAATATACTCTAATTTCCCCTTAGTTTTAAAATAGTAATATTATAAACCTGTATTTTAATGTGATACATATATTTATAGTAATACAGTTATTATATTTCATTCATTATAATAAATTTTCTTGTCCTGATAGTTTTAAAGGAAATTGAAAGTAGGCCCAATTATCTAAGATTTCAAACTGGTAAAACTCCACGTAAGTAGTTAACATCAGGCTCTGGAGTCATAAATATCTGGGTTTAAATACCAGCTTTGCCATTTCTTAGCCATGAGAGAGCATGGGGAAGTTGTCTTAAGTCAAAGCCTAGTTTCCTCTTCTGATCTACCAACTTTCATAAGATTGTTATAATTTAAATGAATATGAAGCATTTGGCAAAGTGCTTGGCACACAGTATTAAAAAATGTTAGCCATTATTATTGTAATAAACAATGTATATTTTTATGATAATGAATCAATACACAATCTGGTTGTTGAATACCTATTTTCTGAGCACCTATTATTTTCTAGGCATCCATGCCAAGTGGCAGAACATAAAAATTACAGTTAAGACACAATTCTTAAGAAGCTTACAAGAAACTGGAGGAAAACAAATACATATTGATAATTTTATAATGATAGGATAAAGAAAAATTATTATGAAAACACTTAAAAATGACTGAACGCTAACTCAAGAGTTGGGCTAAGAGAGGAGTCTCAGGAAGCTTATATGAACAGGTGACACTTGAGCTGGGTCTGAAGGATGAGCAGACATCAGCAAATGGAGTTGGGATGGGTAACTGGTGGAGAGACAGACTGTAAGCAGTCTGATAAGCAGTTTGTTGCTGTTGAAGCAGAAAATACTAAGCAGATGGCAGGCAGCAAGAGATCTGGCTGGAGAGGCTGGCAAGCAGATCAAGAAGGGCGATCTATAGCAGTCTTAGCCAGGATTTTTAGCAGGGGTGTGCCATGGCTACGTTTATATTTATGTGGACCCCACAGCGTTTTGGCCTTTGCATGGCTGACTAATTTGAGGGAGAAAAAAACTAGAGACAGAAAAGGTTAAGAGGCTATGAAAGTACTCTTGTCAAAATATAATGATGGTAGGAAGCATTAGAGAAGAAATAAAATATTTAAGATACATTAAAGGAGGTAGATACCAGCAAAATTTGATGACTAACTGGATGTGGAAAGTAGAGCACAGAACACAGTCCAGGATATTCCATATTTTCAAACTGGGAGATTGAGAGGACTCTATCGTCATCAACTATGAACTAGACCAGTGGTCCCCAACTTTTTTGGCGCTAGGAATTGGCTTTGTGGAAGACAATTTTTCCATGGATGGAGGGTGGTAGGTGATGATTCAAGCCCAATAACCTCAAGCTCACCTCCAGCTGTGCAGCCTGGCTCCTAATAAACCTGGACCAGTACTGGCCTGGAAGTTGGGGACCCCTGAACTAGAATATCAAAGGAAAAGAAACTTTCTTTATATAGTATTTGAGATACCTACTGACTATTCAGGTAGAGCTGTCTAGTAGATAGCTGAATAAATGTTAAGAAGGGAAATAGTAGATTTAGGAATCATTAACATATAGTTATTAGTTAAAAATTAGAAGTGAAGAGCAATAAGCTAAGGGATTACTCTGAAGAACAAAAGCATTTATTGATAAATTAACAGTGTCCAATTCAGGGAAGGCTAAGAAAAAGAGAACAGTTTTATCGGATTCAGTAATTAGGAGGTCAGTGGGTAACTAACGGACATATACTTACAAACTTCATTCATTCATTCATTTACTCATTCCTTCTCTTACTACTTATTAATTAAACATTCACCGAATATTTTGGATATGTCAAGTACTATATTATGTGCTATGGAAACAAAGCTGAATAAGTAAGAAACTACCAATGTAGAGGGGGAGACATACAATGTTTGTTACAATACAATGTATTAAATGTAAAACTAAGAAAGAATAACTATTTACTACATGTCAAGCACTGTGCCACATACTGATCTCCAATTCTCATAATACTTGTAAACAATGAGGATTATGTTTATTTTATAACTGAGGAAACACTCAAACACTCAATGAGGTTAAAAGTAACTCCTCCGAAAATAGAGAGCAAATAAGTGGCAAAGCCAGGATTCAAACCTAAGACTGTCTAGTGCCTAAATCTGTGTTCTGTACACTTTGGTATGCTACCTCTGATTCAAATTTCTCCAGTTTACTTATTTATTTAACTTTGAATATACAGAAAGGATTCTTGGGCTATACATTTCTTCCCTATTTAAAAATGGTAAAAGTTTTAAGAAGCTGGAGAGAAGTTATTAGGCCTAATTTATAATTTGCTCTACATCAGGGGTGTCAAACTCATTTTCACCAGGGGCCACATCAGCCTCGCGGTTGTCTTCAAAGGGCCAAATGTAACTTTAGGACTGTGCAAATGTAACTACTCCTTAACAGTTAAGCGAGAGCGCAGAGTTACTGCTGGGTAGATACAAGGTGCCAGGTTGGGTAAAACAAGGTGGAGGGTGGGACCGGCCTGCTGGCTTTGTGTTTGCCATCTGTGCTCTACAGAATCCCAGCAAAGTGAAAACTTTGGTGCTTAACCAGTGTTTTTATAGAACAGTGATAGAATCATTATTAATCATACAACGAGAAGCTTTGTTTTACACTATAATTTTTGAAAACCTAACCATATTCATACCCACAGAATTCTTAATAATGTGATAATTAGGTTACACAAACAACCCATAATGTCTCCCATCCAAGTACTAACCAGGCCCGACCCTGCTTAGCTTCTGAGATCAGACGAGATCGGGCGCGTTCAGGGTGGTATGGCCGTAGACAACCCACAATGTTTTAATAAAGAATAAATTAAAGTTAAAAATACATTCTACTTTCCACAAACTTAAAAACTAACAAAGTACAAAGGAATAGTAATTTGTTAAAAAAGAAACTTTAAACTGTCCAATTACCTTCTTTGCAAAGACCAAAATCAGCAATTTTCACAAAGCCCTCTGTATCTAGCAATAAGTTATCCAATTTCAAATCTCTGTTCAGGATTAAAAAAATGGAAATAAAAAAAATCAATAAAATCAGTAGATAGTGTAGTTAAAAAATTTTCACTAGGAGCTATATTTTCTTTTTACTAAAAACAAGCTTTTCAAGTTATGATTTGAGATTTAAATACTATATTACAAATATTCATTTCTTCCTTTCAAAAAGTTTTTTACTGTATGTATTTTCTGAATAATTTTCCTCTGTTATACAGGTAAGGAAGACTGTATTTAATGAGGAGTGTTTTTTCTATTTAAATATACATTTTAAAGCATGAGGAGTTCAAGTAACTAACTCAGATTTTATTAATTTGTTAATTATGATAATCAGACTTCGAGTAAGTTGAAAGTATGCCTACACACCACCCATAAAAAAGAAATGTTTAATAGTATAAATAAGGTATTGGGGGAACAGGTTTAACTTTCTAAGAGTGTAATTTAAAATAAAAAGAAAGCTACATGTCCATACTAATGGATTACAAATTAAGTTGAAAATATTTTATCCTGAGAGTAAAATAGAATCATGAAGAAATTTTTACCTTGAAAATATTGTTAAGAAGTCTGAATAAACCGATGTTTATAGTCTTCTAATTCTGACTGGCCTTTCCATAATTTATCTGGTCTAGTGCTGTCTTTTCAACCAGTGTGCCCCAGGAATTGTTAAAACGTGATCATTTAGGCAGGGGCACTGACCTCTTTTCCCTTAGGTTGTCAAACAAAAACATGACAACAGCCAACACAACAATAGCTGTCTGGTGTGAATAAGTCAAATTATACCTATTTTTTTTTTTGGTCAGATGGAAAGAAAAATATAGTTTTTGGTGTGCTGCAGAATTTTGTAATTAGTTTATGTGTGCCATGAGATGAGAAAGGTTGAAAATCACTGGTCCTGAGCCATGCTATTCCAAGCATGGCCCATAGACTAGCTAGCTAGCTGCCGGGCTACAGACTATTTGCTATAGTTTTGCAATTTGAAAGGTGCTTGTGCCAGACATAAATCAAGTATGTCACCAAAGTACACTGTTTAGTTGACCGCAAGAGTTAATAAAGGCAGCAGGGTGATGCTTATCATGGAAAACCTTTGAATAGTATGGTTTACAGAACCTTTCTGCAGTGGATCTGTTGAGCATAAAACATTAATAAGGATAAATACTGTTAATGAATTTTGTTATCAGAGGCCAACTTATAATCTGACTACTGTAATTATGTAATGAATAGAGGTTTAAGAACAGAAAGGGTTATCATATAATTATAGTGTTAACCATGTCTTTCAAAATTGAAATTTAACTTTTAGAGAGGTCAACTTATCATATGAAAGTGAAAATTAAGAAGTTGATCAAAGACACAATATCCTTCTTAACTATCTTTAATTCTAATTTACACCAAAATAAGACATTAGGAAGTATTAAAAATTTACTTACCTATAGACAATTTTGTGTTCATGTAAATACTGCAACCCAAGAACTACACATGCAGCATAAAATCTGTTTGAAGAATTAAATTTTAAAAGTTTAATAAATTCCACTGCTGTTGAAAATTCTAGTTTATACTTTTATGCTTCAAAGCAGAATTCCATAATAAATAATTACACAAGTATTTATTTAGTCCTTATTATGTGCCAGAAACAGTAAGAATATGCTAAATATTAGCAATAAAATTTTTAAAAATTAAGAAAAAATAAAATCTACAACAGAAACCATTAACTGGCTGATGGCTTCCACTGTAGTCCTTAGACACTTGACCTGGTTTTGTAAAAAAAAAAAAAAAAAAAAAAAATTACAGTATGTCATACGAGCAGAAGGACAGTGTGAAGAGAACTTTCATGGGGGAGATATAGGGCATTCCCTTAAAAAGGAAAGAAACAGAGTTGTGAAACTAATAGTAAGTTTAGTGTGGCTGAAGTAAAGAATGGGGAAGAAGTAGTGGGAGACAAGGCTGAACTGAACAGGCAGCCTACGGTCAAGCTGTGAAGGATCTTGAATGTCATATTATGGATACTGAATTTTTTTTCTCAGTGACAAGATGATCAAACTATTTTAATCAGGGCAGAATAATCAGACTTATGTTAGAGGTTTTTCTGAGAGTAGTAAGAGGGCTGGAGTAGAAGCAGGTAGGTACCCAGAGGAATAAAGAACAGATAATGCTATCACGATGGTATAGATGGAACATCACAAGAACCTCCATTGTGGTGCCAACAAAACCAGTAAGGGATTTAAAACAAATTTTAGAACCAGCATGAAAGCACTTGGTATCTTATTAGCTGCAGAGGATGAGGGCAAGAAAAAAGCTTAAGATGACTTTCAAGGTTTCCTTCTTAGTTTAATGAATTGGTAAAGAAGTAAGAAGTAGCCACATTTTAGTATATGTGCTGCCGAAGCGAGCACAAGTAGCCGCCACATTTTTGTTAAGAAAATTAGTTTGGTGTAGATATGTTGAATCTGAATTGCCTTGGGGTAGGTGAAGAGGTCTAGTAATGGATGGGTTTGCATCTTACAAAAACCTTCCCCCAGCTAGAATATTAACTCTTGAGGAACAGAACCATGTGTGTGTTTCATCGTTCACACTTAAATGTCTAGCAAAATGCCTGATACCAGGTAGTGGTAGGTGTACTGAATGAGCAGGTAGGTTATAAGTAAATGGGTAAATTTAAAAATGTAGATCTATCTTCAGTGTAGAATAGCTTATTAGGAGACACTTAGGAGAACCAACTCTTAATTATACAAGTAATATGTGGATATTTTCTCTATCAAATACCCATAACACCCCAGCCCTAAAACACAATATTTCATTTATCCATCTACCATCCCACACCGACACCACTATCATCCACAGCAATAACTATTCTCGTCAGTTTGGTGAATGTTCTTCGAAGTTTTAAAATACATTTAGATGCACATGTAGAAAATATGGCTGTGTTTTATGTTTACTTACTTTTATAAAAATGGAACTACAATTTGGGAGAATTTTCATGATACGTGAGGTCAGGGGAAAATGAGGAAAATCAGTTTAGTTTGAGAAGTTAAATGAGAAATAATATTAACCATACAAAGAGAAAAGTCAAGTTGTCAAGTGAATGCTATTAGAACTGGAAGTATAGGGAAGAGGTTAAGGCTGGAAATAATAAATTTGGTGAATACCAGCATATAGAGTGTAGCTATGTAAGAATACTTTCCTAGGTTCAAATCCTAGCTTCTCCACTTAAGAACTATAAACTGTGATAATAATAGGGGAAAATATATACATGTATTTAATCTCAAGTGTTTGTTATTATTTATTTTTATAAATATATGCATGTTTTATAAATATACGCATGTTTTATAAATATGCATTTGAATAAGCAAAACCTTCACATAATATCAAATTCAAAAACTACAAAAACAATTCAAATGAAGTCTGCTTTCTATGTCTTTCATTGGAAGCAATACATATACTAGTTTCTTTTATACTGTCATAGATATTGTAAACATACAAATGCTTAATATACCAGTACTTTAAAATTACCCTATAAAATGCAAATACGAATATTTCAGACATCATATGAAACAGACTGTTCTACACTTTCTCCTTTCACTTAACAATGTACTTTGAGTATAGTTGGTATTTAAAGCCATGGTCCTAGATGGCATTCCCAAGGGAGAAAAAGTAAAAGAAGAAATTCTGCTAAAAGGAACCTAAATTTTGTTATCTGAATTATCAAACATGATTTAGGATAATGTATGAAGTTTTCAACATGGACAGTGGAGTAAAACAGATACATTTATATATGACAAAAGGTAAGTAAGGAGTTGTAATAGTCTTTGTAGAGATCTATTTTTCCATTTGTGGAAAACAAATAATTCAGAGAGCGTTATTCCTTCCCAGAAAAAAAAAAGGGTCACAAAACATCCAGAGACACGTCTGAAGCATACTCACACAGCTCTTGGCTCAGCAAAGACATCAGTGTGAATGTGCATCATCAGGTCCCCGCCAGCAGCATATTCCATTACAAAGCAAACGTGCTCTTTGGTTTGGAAACAGGCAAAGAGGTTCACCAAAAATGGATGTCTTACACTATTCACAGTTTCAAAAATTCTTTTTTCACACATCAGGCTGTAAGAGAAAACATTTAAAAATCAATACGTTTTTCCCCTTCTTTAAGTTCTAGTTGGAAACAACATTCTTTAAAAATTACAAAACTCTAAAATAAGCAAAGTTCTTAACTATAATAACTTTAAAACCATAACATGCATTTTTGTTTTGCTCCAATACTTTGAAAAATTTGGTCTATTTGACATATATAATGAATTAAAATTATTAATGCACACTAAAATATATGTTTAGCATGACAAAAATGGAAGAATTCCCACTGAGTATCAGAGCACCACACATAGAGCTATGCAGTTATAGTTAATAAAAAGGCTTAATTAGGGTAAATTGTAAAAATTATCAGGAACTGGTCAGAATTTAGCAACCTACAGCATAATTTTAAAATATAGTTTGTGACCAAGGTAATTTCAATGACAGTGTTTTAAATTCATAAGCTACAGTATTCAAATGTTATCATATGATATATTACGTAAAGATTTGCTGTATAAAGTTAATTTAGAAGGCTGATTGGAAAACAAAGAGGCTACAAGAAGAATTCTGTAACATGCTTCAAGAAGTTCCTTGAGAGCACCACGATTTCCTTGGACGTCCACAGCAATCACAGGTTGTTCTTGTAAGGACTTTTACAAGCTGCTAGGAAGAACAGTGTTCAAAACTATTGACTCTGGAACATTAATTTTGCCTAAAAAGGCAAAAATTGATAGCAAAAAAATCAATCCTCTTCTCTCTGAAATTAACTTATATTAAGCCCTTGATCAAAATAAAGATTCCAAAAGATGTATTTTATTAACAATTAGATTATATTTATATTTCTAATACGAAACAGGTACTGTTTTGTTCTTGAGACTAGAACCAAAAGTTGACATTAATATTTAAAAGCATTATTAATGTTTTTCAAACTTAAGAAACTGCTTAAATTTTGTTGTTTATTTAAAAATGCCAAACTAAAATCCTCTAATTAGAGGGAAGTAGATGAATCCTTTCTTTCTTTTATGTCCTTTAGGAAAGTTAATTTTAAAAAGGTAATTTTATTTTGAGTATCCAAATTACATTGGTACGAGTTAAAAAATTAAATAGAATTTTGAAGATATTTGACAGTTTCCCTGTTTGTGGAAGGAACATATAATTTTCAATGCTATGATAATATAGCCATTGTCTGGATTATGAACTAAAACAGCCGTTCAGTTTTACATATTGATAGTAAATGCAGCTACTATGTAATAGTGTTTACACTCCATTTATTATGGTCATAGTCAACATGAACTTTTACCCTCTGATTTTATACAATCTGTTCAATATTTTATACATATTCAGAAACAGAAAGCTCTATTCACTGCAATTGTTCTTAAAACTTTAGGCTTATGTCTACGTATACTTGGCAAGGCTTCTAAATGTTACTACAAATTAAGTCATTATTAGAAGTAAATTCATACAAAATCAAAAAGAAAGTTAATAGCTTTAATTTTTACCACCATTTAAGTTCACTGGAAAATAATGCTCAATTGGGCAAGATCTAGATGATGGATTTTAGAATTGATTTACTAAGTCAGTCTAAAATTTGGGTAATATAGATATTCAGATGAAATAAACTGGTAATATATTTTGGCTCAAGTAGAAGACAAATACGGTCTCTTCATTGTCTTTGGGTTTATATTTATGGGCATATTACTAATACACTATAGGTTTTAGGTCTGTGTTGAACACATAAATGGTATAAAAGATCAACAGTCAATGATCTAAATGGCCCTTAAAATAGTTTTAATGCCACTCTTAGGAATTCTTTGATGAGAACTATTAGATCAAGGAGAAAGGTCCCCTTTAGACCCAAACTGTGACAATAACAGCAAAAATCCAATCTCCTTAACAAGGTCTTACCCTAAATCCATTGGTACACCATGATATTCTCTTTCTATGGACTGCTATTATCTGTCTCATTTATTTTAAACTTAAACATGTATGTAACCTCTTTTATTAACATAAGTAGTATATTTATGTTTTCTCTCCCTGATTAACATTCCATTCTAACACTTTTTTTGTGCAACTTTCTTCAGAGTTCAGTACATTATTAGATATGCCAAAAAACTTTAAAACTTGTATAAATATTTTGGTTAGTGAAAAACTACATAATTAATAAGGCTAAGGTCTTAGGATTTAACCCTATATTTGTACATAATATGGTTAGCGGTGTTTTTATTGTACATCTGCAACACTGTTGTCCTGAAATAGGAACTGATAGGAACCAGTAACAAAAGGAGTCTGAGAAAGGAAGCATTATAATCACATAAATTTAACCTTCTTATTCTGGACTGGGGGAGGATGGGACTCCAGAGAGGACGTTGTACTAATGGTAGGTAGAAAACGTGACCTTTGAACACGAACTGAATAATTTTGGAGTTAGTCCATATTTTGTTTTCATTTAAAAGGAAGTTAATTTGGAATTTTTCTCCGTAAGTCAGTTTCCTAAGTAAAACAGTAAAATCCGGACTAAAGAAAGATAATTTAGAAAGTGAACATAAAGGATTCTGCTTGGTTTTCACCAGTGTAAGTTGTTTATTATTCAGACTTGCAAGTAATATATATTACTTTAAAAATAATGCTGTTCTATTTATTTTCTAAATTATTTTTTCCTTGACTTCCTCTAACTGCTCTTTTTTTGCTGCTTTCCTCAAATTTCTCTAATAATGAGTTTTATTTCTCATTCCAAATTTTCCATTTGTTTTTGTACCAGTTCTATTGAAGATTATTTTACTTCCACGCTACTGAATATGTGAGTTTATAACTAAAGTTAGATGAAAAGGATCACTCATCAACTTTTTACCAGGGCTGAATTAATCTTCTGTAGGGATAACGGCTTGGGTTCCGACTAAAGCTCCATTCTCTGACATGGACATTCTTTTTTAATAGCCGTATTAATATTATCCTTTTTTTGATTTAATTTGAAAGGTTTTTCTTATAGAGACCTGGCTCAATAGTTTACAATACAGCAGAAAGCTACATAAACCTATGTAAGCCAACAGATTTAAAAGAGGTCATACCAATTTCCTATTATTTGAGGAAACATGAATTTACTCTTTATAGATCTGAAACAAAACAAACATTCTTCCAGAAAAAAGAAATATTGACTCTATTATTACTGCAATTATAAACAATCTGACAATTAAAGGTTTGCTTTAACCAATTACTTACATAACATAAAAATATAGTTCTAGCCCTGGCCGGTGTGGCTCAGTTGGCTGGAGTACGCTCCTGTGAACTGAAAGGTAGCATTATCTATTCCCAGTCAATGGACATGCCCGGGCTGTGTGGGTTTGGGCTCTAGTCGAGGAACAAGAGGCAACCAGTCGATGTTTCCCTCCCCCCACCACCTCCTTTCCCCTCTCTCTTAAAAAAACAATCCATCAGGATGTTCTCAGGTGAGGACAAAACACATACACACAGATTCAGATTTCTAAGCGTGTAATATGATGTTCAGAATAGTTCACAAATACTCAGCAAAATCCTTTCTGAGTAATTTTAGCGATCCAGAAAGTTTACTTTGACATCATTGAGTAATATGAGGTAAAAAATAAATAGACAAATCTAAAAAGAAAAAAAATTGTATAAAAAGGAAATCCTCATCTTTTAGGCTCTATCCTAATTCTGAGAACTTCCCATTTCATAGGGAAAAAACCTCCAATTTGGTACATCTATATGGCACTTAATACAATTCAGTAGGGCAAGTATTACCAAAAACTTCATTTTTTAAATATGTGGATTAACTGAAGCTCAAAGATACTCAATTAATGGCCTTGTGGTCAAATCATTACTTAAGGAGAAACAATCAGAACTAGGTAAGTCAGTCTTCTCACTCAGTCCCAGGCTCTTTTTATTATACAGGGCTGTCTTCCATTCATATTAACTTATGCTTACTAGTGATTTAAGAAAAATACTACTTCTAATAGAAAAAATAAATAAAAAAAGAAAAATACTACTCTACATATCAAATGAAAGCCTCTTTTGTAACAAATTCTATTTGTTATACAATTCTATTTGTATAATAGAATTGTTATACAAATTTTCTATTTGTTATACTATTTTTCCATATTTAATCGCCCTATTTGAGGCAGTCTTTAAAAAATATACCATTCTCACTTCCTGCCAAGATGGAGGCATAGGTAGACATACTGTGCCTCCTCACACAACCGAAAGGACAACAAATTTAAAAACAAAAAACAACCAGAACTGCCAGAAAATCAAACTGTATGGAAGTCCGACAACCAAGGAGTTAAAGAAGACACATTCATCCAGACCAGTAGGAGGGGCAGAGACAGGCAGCCAGGGTGAAGAGGACTTGTGGCAAGGCGGTGGCTAGCAGTGGATTGTGGAGCAGGGCACTTGGCTGCAGCTGGCCAGCAAGGCAGTGGCCAGCAGATGGGCGGTCCCACATTCACATACAGATAAACCAGGCAGGGGAAAAAAGGGGGACAGGGATAGAGCGCAGGGAAATAAAGCCTCAAACCACTGACTGAAAACACCTGGAGGCCGCAGCAGGAGAAACTCCCAGCCTCACACAAAAGTTCATTAAAGAGACCCACTGGGTCCTCCTAGAATGTACACAAACTCACCCACACAAGAATCAGCACCAGAAGGGCCCAATTTGATTGTGGTTTGCAGGGGAAGTGACTGAAATCTGACAGAGAGTGGAGCAAGCACCACTGTTCCCTCTTGAACCCCTCTCCCTCATACAGTTTCACAACTCAGGGACGTAGGTTGCCCTGCCCTGGTGAACACCTAAGGGCTCCACCCCTCACTACATAACAGGCACATCAAGACAAGAAAAAAAAAGGCCCAAAGGAAAGAACAGATCAAAGCTCCAGAAATAATACAACTAAGTGATGGAGAAGTAGCCATCAGATGTACAGTTCAAAACACTGGTAATCAGGATGCTCACAGAATTGGTTGAATTTGGTCACAAAGTAGATGAAAAAATGAAGGCTATGCTGAGTGAAATGAAGGAAAATGTACAGGAAATCAATAATGATGGAAAGGAAACTGGGACTCAAATCAAAAGTGTAGACCAGAAGGAAGAAAGAAAACATCCAATCAGAAAATAATAAAGAAACAAGAATTCAAGAAAATGAGGAGAGGCTTAGGAACCTCCAGGACATCTTTAAATGTTCCAACATCCGAATTATAGGGGTACCAGAAGGGGAAGAGAAAGAGCAACAAGTGGAAAATTTATTTGAACAAACTAATAAATGAGGACTTCCCTAATCTGGCAAAGGAAATAGACTTCCAGGAAGTCCAGAGAGTCCCCAAAAAGTTGGACCCAAGGAGGAACACACCAAGGCACATTATAATTACATTACCCAAGATTCAAATGAAGGAGAGAATTCTAGAAGCAGCAAGGGAAAAGGAGGCAGTTATCTACACAGGAGTTCCCATCAGACTGTCAGTTGATTTCTCAAAAGAGACCTTACAGGCAAGAAGTGGCTGGACAGAAGTATTCCAAGTCATGAAAGGCCAGGACCTACATCCAAGATTGCTCTATCCAGCAAAGCTTTCATTTAGAATGGGAAGGCAAATAAAGTGCTTCCTAGATAAGGTCAAGTTGAAGGAGTTCATCATCACCAAGCCCTTATAATATGAAATGTTAAAGGGATTTATCTACTAAAAAAAGATTAAAAATATGTACAGTAAAATGATAGCATACTCACAATTATTAATAACCACACCTAAAACAAAAAGAAAAACAAACTAAGCAAACAACTAGAATAGGAACAGAACCACAGAAATAGAGATCACATGGAACAGGGGAGTGGGAGGAGGAGAGAGGGGGAAAAGGTACAGAGAATAAGTAGCATAGATGATAGGTAGAAAATAGACGGGGAAGGTAAGAATAGTATGGAAAATGTAGAAGCTGAAGAACTTATAACACATGGACATGAACTAAAGGTGGGAAATGTGGGTGGGAGGGGGGTTCAGGGTGGAAGGGAGTAAAGGGGGGAAAATGGGATGACTGTAATATCATAATTAATAAAATATATTTAAAAATACTATTCTGTGACCTAATTACAATATTACTCCTGAAGTCCTTGGATTTTAATAACTGTACACATAGATGTACACATATCAATTTACAGTTATCAAACCCAGGAAGATAAGATAGTATGGTCACCAATATCATTTAAAAAATAGAGGAAAAAATAGAGGTGCATTTTTAAAAGTAGGATATATTAACCATTCAGTTAACTGAAGATTATCTATACTGACATTTTATGACTTACAATATGGGAAATAGCCTCACTCAACCATAGAAGACTAACACTTCCTATGCTATATAAACACTTTAATATTCCCAATCATAAAAAAACTTAACAGAATTAGTTTAAAAATTTCATCATCTTTCCTTGGTGTCCCCTAACCAGTAAATTGTCATAAGGAGGGACAGGAGGAGTTGGCTGCAAAGAAAAACAGTATTTAATTATTGTCTATCTTACGTCAGTATAGATACATTAACTTATTTAATTTCCTCACATAGTATTACAAAAACAGATAGTTTTGCTGTTGTATATACACATGAATTTTCATGCTATTAAGCCACAACTTCATAAAAATAAGCAATTTTATTTTAAAACACTTACCTGTCTACTTCGTCTCGAGCTACAATGTCTCCTTTCTTTAAGGCTTTTATAGCAAACATTTCATTTGTGTGTTTATATTCAGCCAGAAGCACCTAAAATGAAGTTGAAATAATTATTTCCCGTTTATTACTTTGGTAGATACTCCAAGAAAATGTAAGAAATTACCTTTCCAAAGTGTCCTCTACCCAAGACAGCACAACATCTGAAGTCCTGTAGATTAAACTGAAACATCTGTTGAGATCTGAAAACAGTAATGTCAATTAAAAGTAAGGCACAAGCATAAGGCCAAAAATGTAGTAGCAAAGATGTATACATATTCTTTACCTTCTATCCTCAAGTTCTCGGATACCACTATATTCTAGGCCTGACTGAGAAATATCAGGTTCATATTCAGATTGAGATTTTGGAAGTATACTATTTCTGTCATCTTCAATATCAAAAACAGTTTCTGAATCCTGTAAAATATGAAGTACTCATGAAATCATATAAATATTCAAGAAAATAACTTATTTGTTAAAGACCAAGTAAAAATGTAAAAAGTCAATATAAATATTAGTGAGGAAGATAAAATTCAGATATTGCATATTCATTCAAAGACAATTCTATATTGCACTTTTCTAAAATATGTGAAAAACTCACGTATTGTTGTCATCTTCAATGCACATTCAGAAATCATGCTAACTAAGCCAGAAGATGAAGTGTTTCAGGCAGCTGCCATCTAACGTCAACCACGCTCCCACTTTCCTCCTAGCAGCTCCAGCAGCCTATTCTATCTGTATTAGCCCATGAGCATCCAGAGGTTTTTATGTTTCACTCACAAGGACACAAAACACACATAACTTTTAAATAACTGAAATGTACACCTCATTCACTATGATGCTTTTGCTGGTAATTCACAGGCTGAAAATACAACATTTAAAATGCCTTACCTGTCCTGGTGTATCCACATCTCTTAACTCATCAGATTCATCTATTTCTCCAAGAGAAGAATCACGTGGTGGGGCGGGAGGAGGTTCAGGTTCAAGATCAAAGTCCAATTTGGTTACTGTAGAATCACTTATAAAAGATAAAATAATTCACCAAAAACAGTTATCAAAAAAATATATTTTAAACAGCTTTACCATTAAAGCAAACAATTTTAATTTTTAAAAGTAAGAACACTGATTTCAAAATGCTATTTGGAAAAAATGAGATTTTTTAGGCCCACTGTAATCAACAGATACAAATGTCACAAAAATTACTTTATAAAAGCAATGTTCAAAAACCTTAGCACACACCTAGTTGGAGGTGCTAGTTCAGGGATGCGTACATCAACCACTGGCACTGTAGGAGGCACAGGTGCTTGAGGACTGAAGGTGCCAGAATGATTTACTGTAGGAATAGCTCTTCTCACCAGCCTTCCCCAGGTAGCAATATTAATATTCATTTGAGGGGCTCTGAGAAATGTTTTGCCTGTGGATATTGAGAAAAGAGAAAACAGAACAAGAAATTTTTTAGTATTACCAAAAGCTATAATTAAAAAATTCATATTCATTTTTATAATTCATGAAGAATAAACAAAATCTGTCATTTAAAAAATAGTTAACTATTTGTTATAAAGGCTAGCACAAAACAGCTGCAAAAGTTTTAAAAATAAGTAAGTTGAAATTTCTTAAAAGATCTAGTAATGATATGTAGTTAAGGTTTAAAAAGGAACTCTTTATCTTTCCTAGATACTAACTGTAACAGTTAAGTACAAATCGATATGATGTGTGCATTTGCTCCAAATAATCGGAGGAAGTAGTGAGAGAATGCGATGTGGATGAAACGGAATCGGCCAGGAGTTGGCTACTGCTGAAGCTGAGTGATGGGACATTGTGCTGGCCTCTCTACTTATGAACATGTTTGAAACGTTCCTTAATAAAAAGTCAGAAATAAATGAATAAATTTTAAAAAGCAGAGCTAGATGTCACTTTAAAAATAGTATGTAGATTTTTCTATATTTGAAAAACACCAAAACACTTAGTATTTGATTTCTTAGTAATTACCTTGTTGTTTTGAAAAAATTTTCTTTTGTCGTTGGAGTTTTGGTCGTCTTTCAATGACTGGATTAAAAAAGGTAACCTGCAGTGAAGAAAATTGAAGTGGATACGAATAAAGCACTGGATTTATGGTTTATGAAATTCACTACACTTTTAAGTTTTGAAAACTTAAGAGAATTTCAGATATAATATAGTCTAACCCCCTCTGAGAAAACAGACCTGGAGAGGATAAATTATTTGTCTCGAATACCTTTTCAGGGGCAGAGTTGAGCCAAAAGTTCAAGTTGTCTCTTGTTCACCCTAATGCCCTTTCCACTTCTACATCATGCTGCCTAGATACATATTTCAACTGTACTTAAGCACATTTAATAAAATACATTTATTACCTCTGCAAATAAAGTACCCTGTGGTTCCAAATAGAGACACATGCCATGCCGCTGGTTGTCTAAAAAATCTTCTAACCTCAGAAATTTTACAGCACACAGAGATCGCCAATCACGCCAATAAACTGAAATTTCCAGTTCACGTGACTAGGATGATTTAAAAAAAAATAAAACAGAGAAGACATCATTGGAAACATAGGTGAAATGAAGTATCACAAAAATATAAAATACAAATGCAATATACAAAGATAACAGCACACAATGATCACACTATTTTAAAGAGTGCTTTTCAACATTTCTTATATTTATTACTTTAACAAATGTGTACATTTGTACTCAAAGGAAGAAATTTATATCCCAACAGTCTCCAGCTATTTCTTTTATATAAAGAATATACAACTGGAAACGGCCAATACAAATAAATGACTAAAGAAACTCTTTCTACCTTACAGCTGTAACCTTTCAGATTTTCCTCCTTCATTTGGTGTCCCTTGCTGTGATATTACTAAAAGACCTCAGTGCATACCTGAAAGAATCATTTCAAACCTTATTTCCTTGTCTCAATGTTGAGTCAGGGAAAGACTGTCAACAGTATTTATTTTGTACTTACAGTGTGCTATACACTGTGCTAATAAACACTTTAAGAACATTAGGTCCCTTAAAGTTAAAAAAAATACCATTAGGTTATAGGGCCTGTGATAGCAGGGGCCTTTAGGTAGGGAGAAAAAGGGAAATTCATATTAAGGTTTATGTAAAAGGTGTTCATTTATTACAATAAAAAAATAGCATAAAGCAAGAACTTGAATATCCAAGAACCAGGGGTAAGTTATTATACCATATTCATATGGGGGAATACTCTGTAGTCATTGAAAATAATGTTTAAATAGAAAAATGTGTTTAAAGTTTTAATAATCAATTATTAAATTCACTAGAAAAATACAGTTTATAAATGGGGGAAGGGGTATAAGCCATAAACTGACCTCTCTCTCTATATATATGTGTTGTAATCTACATACATTTGAATTATAAAGTACCACACTTACTTTGTTTTTCACAATTTTGCACACCACCCACAAGAGGCTGTTTCCCTTTAGGTGCAGTAAATATGTTACTTCTTTCAAATCACAACTTTAAATTTATGAACTTATATACCTTATATAAGCTCTTAGTACACTTAATAAAAAATCTTTTGTCTTAACTAGTTGATACAAATGAACACAGGAAACAGTTATAAAAGAGATCATGAAAAAAAAAGATTCAGAACACAATGCGCTAGAGGGTCTCGTAGTCAGTCAGGAAAAGGACTAGAAAGACACTTATGGTAGTGAATATATGAGCCCAGGGCCTCCACCTCATTTCTCTTCTCTGATGCATATCACTATGGGAAAGAATACTTGTCACAAAAGGGGAAGCATGAGTATAATTATTTTAAGATCAGCAAATGGTATATAAAAGGGGTGAATGTGAGTACTATAAAACTCTATTCAAGTTAAATGTTTAACTATTTTGGAAAGTTATTTTGGGAAATAAATGGAATAAATACTTAAACCAGGAACTGCTAATTTAGCTTATATTGTTTTAGACTAGAGGAAGAAGACTTGTTACAGAGAAAGTGGATGCCAGGGATATAGATGTGGGTGGAATCAATACCTGCTAAAAGTTCTTGTACTTTGCACTGCTAAAATAACATTGTATCTTTCTCTGCATGACAGACAGGAGGTCCAATCACCTCTTCTGCATTTATTCTAGCCACTCTGGTAAAACTCACGTGTTGACTCATTTCTCTACTTCCTCTATATTGTTTCAAACTGAAGTATGTTAGAAAAATCTGAAATTTGGGATAAAAGGGCATCTGAAAACCTTAGGCTAGTTTTCTTGAAGTTTTATAATGAAGTTTTAGGTATAAAGCTTTTCAAATTTTGTTAAACAATTTTGCGTTGTTCCCTACACAATTTAAGGAGGTGATAGCTGTGATCTAGAACAGAGTAAGATATTTTATGTTAGTAATGATAACACTGTTTCATGAAACCCCAATCCTACTTTATTTTTTAAATTGTTGTTCAAGTACAGCTTTGTCTTCTACTCCCATCCCAGCCCAACCCCTCAGTGCTCCCCACCTCCTTCCCATTCCCACCCCCCTTTGTTTTTGTCCATGTGTCCTTTATATGTGCATATATATATATGCGCGCGCGCGCGCACGCACACACACACACACACACACACACACACACACACACACACACACACACTCTAGGTTCCTGTAAATCCTTCCCTTTTTTCCCCTGAAATTCCCTCTCCTCTCCCTTCTGGTCACTATCAGCTTGTTCTCTATTTCAGTGTCTTTGGTTATATTTTGCTTGCTTGTTTGTTTTGTTGTTTAGTTTCCTGTTGAAGGTGAGATCATATGGTATTTGTCTTTCAACGCCTGGCTTATTTCACTCCTATTTTAAACCCTAACATCCAGTGATTTGGATGGATAAAGCATGGATACAGCATCTAAATGGCCAAGTATCTTCTATATAACTAGAATCCAGTAATACCTATTGAATTTAAACTGTAAGTGTAATGGCTCGTTTGTTGGCAATTTTCCAGAAGAAGCAGGTCAATTTTTATATAGCAAGAGCATGTTTGTAGGTAATGTCAAACCCTAAGAGTAACAAATCACCAAAATAGATGAGTACTATGAGCTAAGTACTGATAAACTGTGCCAACTTGTGTTTCATTCTGTCACCATGAATTTGAACACAGAATCAAAGAGAAAACTCTGGTAGACCTAAGAAATCTGAATGTTTTTTCTGAAGCCTCTGCAAGGCCTAAAAGTGAATATAAAAAGGCAAGAAACATTTAATCAAGATGCCATACATGCTGTAGGAGAAAGAGAGCAACCACTTAAAACATGTGCTGCAATCTAAAAAACACAGTACATACCTAGTATAGAAAGAACCGAAGCACAAAGGAGATGGAAGTTCCCAAATTGTTCTTGAGAAACTCCAGGAGAATGGGGATATTTTAACTTTACAAAGGAAACATGGTAACATGTATGGCACACCATTAAGAAACAGTCAACATTAGAATGCACCACATTCCTTTTGATAACATCTCATCTTTGCTAAATTGGGTTTCAACCATTGATTTTACCACAGAAAAAAGAGGTAAGGGTGCAATGTCCAATTTGATTCCAAGCTTTGAAAAACTGTATCATACACAACAATCTGACATATCCCACTAGTAAGTAGCAGGTTACATAAAAGTGAAATAAAAATATTTAAAGGGTACACTGCAATGATTTGATGTATATATACATTTTGGAAGGATTCCTCTCCCTCTCATCTAGTTAATTAACATATCCATCACCTCAAATATTTTATATATACAGAAAAATACGTATCTGATGAAAACGCTTAAGTTCTAGTCTCAGCAAATTTCATTTATGCATTGTTATCGACTAGAGTCACCATGCTATACATTATACGTTTAGACCTTATTTATCCTATAGCTGAAAGTTATACCTTTTTACCAACTCCTCCTTACCCTCCTAAGCCCTGGTAAATACTTTCTACTTTCTTGTTTGTTTCCTTTTAGATTCTATATGTAAAGTGCTATCATGCAGTATCTGTCTTTATTGATCTGGCTTATTTAGCATAAAGTCCTCAAGGCCCATCCATGTTGTTACAGATGGTAGCATTTTCATTTTTCACAGCTGAGTATTTGTGTGTGTACAGAAATGTACACATATAACACTTTCTTTATCTACTCGTCCGCTGATGGACGCTAAGATTGTTTACGTATTTTGGATATTGTGAATCGTTCTATAATGAATGTGGGACTGCAGCTACTGCTTCAATATCCGTTCTCATTTCCATTGGATATATACCTACGAGTAAAATTGCTGGGTCATTCGGTAGTGTATTTTTAATTCTTGAGGAACTTCTACACTGGTTTTCACGGTGGCTGCATCGATTCGCATTATCACCAGTAGTGCACAAGGGTTTTTTCCCCACATCCTAGTCTATGCTTATCTCATCTTCTTATGTAGCTTTTTTTTTTTGCTTTTTAAACATGAATGTGTGGTTGCCTCTCATGTGGCTCTTGTTGGGGACCTGGCCCGCAACCCAGGCATGTGCCCTGACTGGGAGTCAAACCAGAAACCCTTTGGTTCGCAGGCCAGCACTCAATCCACTGAGCCACACCAGCCAGGGCTTGATGTAGACATTTTAATAGGTGTGATATGATATCTCATTGTGGTTTTGATTTGCATTTCTTAGATGATTAGTAATGTTAAACACCTTTTCATGTACCAGCTGGTCATTCAGATGCAGTCTTTTATTTTTTTAAAGATTTTATTTATTTTTAGAGCAAGGGGAAGGGAAGGAGAAAGAGAGGGAAAGAAACAACAGTGTGTGGTTGCGTATCACGTGCCCCCCACAGGGGGCCTGGCCCATAACCCAGATATGTGCCCTGAGAATTGAACTGGTGACCCCTTAGTTCGCAGGCCAGCAGTCAATCCACTGAGCCACACCAGGCAGGGCTACATGCACTCTTTAGAGAAACATTTAGTCAGTTTCTCTGCCCATTTTTAACTGAATTGTGAATTGTTTGCTTTTTGCTATAGAATTGTGTGAACTCTTTATTTATTTTGAATATTAATCCCTTATCAGATAATTTACAAATATTTTCTCCCATTCTGGAGGTTGCCTTTCGGTTTTGTTGATGGTTTCCTTTGTGTAAAACATCTTTAGTTAGTAACTACTTCTTAATAAATGTCAGCTATGATGATAATGATGATGATATGCACTTAAGAAAATCTACACTAGCAGAAGGATAAATTGGAAATAAAGAGACAAGTTAACCTATTATTATGAAGAACATAGGCTTTGGATTCAGACAGGTTTGGCTTTGGTGTCAGACACTTGTGTTGATTACCAAAGTTTCTGGCCTGAAAACAATTACTTAAAGTCAGCAATCCCAAAACAGTAATAATACCTGGACGGATCTCATAGAATTACTGACAGGAATGCATCAGACATTATATGCAATGTGGCTTGTTCAGAATCTGTTACAGCAGAAGTTTCATGGGCAAAATGGGTAAACGAGAAGCATGCCCCTAAGGAAAGAACAGGAGAAATCCCTCAAAATAGAACCAAAAG